GTAAAAGAAGGAGATTGGATTTATACCCCGCCCTTCACTACCCAAAGGAATCTCAGAGCGGCTTACAAACTCCTTTCCCCTCTCTTCCCCACAACAAGACACCCTGTGAGGTAGGTGGGGCTGAGAGAGCTCTCTTGAGAACGGCCCTTGAGAGAACAGCTCTTAAAGAACTTGTGACTGACCCAAGGTCACACCAGCAGGTGCAAGTGTAGGAGTGGGGAATCAAACCCAGTTCTCCCAGATTACAGTCCACACCACTTAATCATTACACCAAACTGAAGTAAATTTTGAAAACACACTGAGAAAGAAGAGAGAGAATAAAATAAACAGCGGGGCGGCAACTGCCACGGAGACGTTTTACTCTGCCCAGCCAACCCGATCTCCAGTGGCCAGTCAGAAGCCCAGCTGGAAAGGACCCCACCCACTTTATGAAAACATTTGGCGGGCGCCCAGAAAGGCGTCGGTGGGTGCTATGGTGCCCACGGGCCCCAGGTTGGGACTCCTGTTCTAATCCTTGATGGGCAAGGTTGCCCGTTCTTTTTGCAGAACAATGTGCTGAGTAGTTATCGGGTAGGGCGGGAATGAGCAGGCGAAAACCGTTTCTCACCCTAGCGTGGGGGGAAAAACTTCATCTGTTTTCTGCTCCCAGTACAGGCACAAGAGTAGCCTGAGCTGTTTTTTGCTGATAAGTTGGCAACCCTGGCGCGGGGAACATTGAGCACTCACGGGCAATATGCTACCCAACATGCCAGTCACATTAACTTTCCAGAAAGTGGAAGGAAAGCAAGTTCTTTGGGGGTGTTTTTTTGGTGGCTCAAATTGGGATGTAGCTGGATCCTGTCGGAAAAGACAGGGCTTCCTCAGGGTTCCTCAGAGGCTTCCTGGGGCTTTCTGACCTCATCCCAAATGCCATTACCCAGAAGTCAGTCCAATGCACCAGCTGGGTGACCTTGAGTCAGTCACAAGTTCTCTCAGAGCTGTTCTCTCACAAGCAGTTCTCTCAGAACTCTCTCAGCCCCCATCCGCCTCACAGGGTGCCAGTTGTGGGGAGGGGGAAGGGAAGATTGGAAGCCTCTCTGAGACGCCGAGTGAAGGGTGGGGTATACATCCAATCTCTTCTTCTTCTTGCTTTCCTCGGGAGCACAGAGCGGGGGTCAGGGGGAGAGCGGCAGGGGGAGGTCGTCGTGAATTTCTTGCATTCTGCAGGGGGTTGGACTGGATGACCCTCGGGGTCCCTTCCAGCTCTATGTTTCTATGAGTGATAGACTAGGATCTGGGAGAACCAAGTTTGAATCCCCACTCTGCCATGGGAGCTTGCGGCGTGACACGTTCTCAGCCTAGCCTAACTCGCAGGGTTGTGGTGAAGATAAAACAGAGGAGAGGAGAACGATGTATGCCACTGTGGGTCCCCACTGGGAAGGAGAACAAGAAGAAGTTGGATTTATACCCCGCCCTTCACCACCCGAAGGCGTCTCAGAGCGGCTTACAATCCCCTTCCCCTCCCCACAACAGACACCCTGTGAGGTACCGTAGGTGGGGCTGAGAGAGCTCTTTCAACGACTGCTCTTGAGAGAACAGCTCTGAGAGAACTTGTGACTGACCCAAGGTCGCACCAGCTGCTGCATGTGAAGGAGTGGGGGGGGAATCAAACCTGATTCTCCCAGATTAGACTCTTTGGTGTTCTCTTATCAAAAGGAAACGGAAAGGAAACCTCGCAGGGTTGTCCGTGAACTTACTATCTGGGGATGTGGGGAAGCCCTAACACTAGCGTCCCCTCCCCCATTTCCTTTCAAGGAGGAGAAGGAGAAGAGATTGCATTTATACCCCGCCCTTCACTCGGAGTTTCAGAGTGGCTTGTAATCTCCTTTCCCTTCCCCTCCCCACAACAGACACCCTGTGAGGTAGGTGGGGCTGAGAGAGCTCTTTCGAGGACTGCTCCTGAGAGAACAGCTCTGAAAGAACTCGTGACTGACCCAAGGTCTCACCCGCTGCTGCATGTGGAGGAGTGGAGAATCAAACCCAGTTCTCCCGGACTAGAGTCCGCGCTCCTCCTAACCGCTTCGCCAAACTGACAGGAGAGAGATAAAGAAAGAAAACCCTGCAAGAGAGCTGAGAAGCCCCTTTGATTACCTGTTGCTCACGGAACATCTGCTGGCCCAGAAGCCCCCATATTCCGGCTCCTCTTGCAACTTCCCTAAGGAGGGAGGGAAACGGAGGGGGGGCTCACACAGCTAGTTGCGGCTGGCCCAGGCAAGGCCACAGCGTCTGGCTGCCGCTTGGAGCGGGATCAGAGGAAACCGAGCTGCTTTTTGTACATAAAGGGCCGTGAAATCAACAAGCCGTAGCAGGCCTGGCTGCTTTCGCTACACTACCATAACCCTCTCCCCCGTCTATGCCCCCGGAGCACGGATTAGACGCTTAGACAGCCACGCTCAGCTGCAGGCGCAACTGATCGGTGGGGGGAAGAGCATTGCTGAGCTCAGGCAGGCTCCCTCGCGACATCCAGGGGCAAAGAGGAACCACAGCCAGAAAAGGGCCAACCTGAGACACGGGGGCAAATTCTTTAAAACGGGCACCCCCCAAAACACACACACAGACACAGACGCCCATGAAGACAGCACAGCATCTAGCAGGAAGCATCCCTGCACATACCGCAATGTACGGGAGGTGTGCCAGAGCACAGCTCGTTCAGAAAAAAGGAGATCCCCCCTGCACAAGTCCCATTGAACTGAATGGGAGGCGCATGGCTTACGGCCGGCACTAGCGCCCACTAGGGGGGAAGACGGTTCCTGCTCCTGTTCAGTTCTGCTGATGTGCCTTCCGAGAAGCTCGCTTTGTGGAGAGATGCTCTAATCAGGGGTGGGCAATAAAAAAACCCGGATATGCGCTCCCCTCCCCCCCATGCGCTCGTGCATACGCACTTCAGAAGGAGGCGCCAGGCGGTCCGGCACAGCCCCCGGCTGATTTGCAAGGTTCTGCTGGCTCCTACCAAAGGCAACTGCCAGATTTTACGGCCGGCACTAATTCTCCTGCTTTGATTTGTGGCCTGGGTTCTAATTGCCTCGTTTAGGCGCAGGGATGGCGCAGGGGCTGTTAACGTCAGCCAGAGATATACCAGGCTGCGCCGACGGTTCCGGGGGATAAATCCACCGAACGCGTATGCGTGGCGGCGGCGGCAGGGGGGTGGCTCACGGTTGTCTGCGGCGAAAGCGGCAGACTGCGGCTGGCGGCTCGCCGCGGCGCATGCGAGTCTCATGCGTGGGCGCAGTCGTTTCCAGCCGAGATTCGTCGGAGACAAAGCCGCTTGACAATCGGTGCCGGTTAAATATTAGGGGAGAGTTTCCTGACAAAAGAAAGCCGTTTGACGATATTCTATTTTGAGCGCTTCTTGGGGAAGTGGTAGAATTCACCTGCGTCGCAGAGGGCGGAGAGACACGCATGTTCCGTGCTGCGCGCCATGCAGCCTGTGAAATGCATGTGTGGTCTCTTGCTACGAGATAAAGAAATCAAACGAAAGCACCGGGCTCAGCAATCTTCAGGCTGTGTGACAAAAAGAAACACGAAATCTGCAGGAGTACACAGTTTTGCAAACCTGAGTTATCGTTTTGCTGATTCCGCATAATTTATTCTGGGCTTGATCGTCACCGAGAACGTCCTCAGCCACTGGAAATCTTAATGCTGCAACCCCCCACCTTAGGTTTCGGAGATTACACGCCCTTTGCAGGAAATCACTTCGCGGCCATGAGGACTAGAACCATGTCGTATCTAGCAACCCCTACTGGCTCTTGAGATTTCAGCAGGCGTCGCCGGATTACTTTCCAGGCGATTCCGGCAACGGTGAAGGGAGAAACAAAAGCCTGCAGCGTCTCAGCCTGTCCAGCTTCCACGCCAAATGCTAATTTTTCCACACACGCCCCTCACACATTACATTCTGCAGTCTGACCCACCTTCCATTCTGTCCCAATCGAGAGACACCCCACCCCGGTCCAGACTTATTACTTTAGTTTCATAGTTTTACTGCAGAAACGTCCCCCCACCTCCCACGGACCCCTCGCTAGGCAAGGCGGTGTGGGGAGGTGAAGGCCCGGTTTGCCACGGCGGCGTCTGCGCTAATTGCCGGCAGGCGATCCGTAATTAAAACTTCCATTGTGACATTTCCTGACATCTCGATATCAAACGCTGCAATTAACCCTCCCCGGCTGGAAGGTCGCTTTGCTGAGGGGGGGTGGAGGGGGACGGGAGACAAGAGAGACAGGAGCTGTGAGCAACCAGGGGCCACCCCCCCTTCACTCCGTGCCCATCCATGCCTGGCAGCTGGTGACAGCCATCCCCAAGCACTTGTTGTGGCTCCTGACGCCGGTGGAAGCGGGCACGAGAGCATCCCCCAAATTGCTGGAGGGACAGCACTCGGGCACTGATTCCACCTCCCCCTATGCCCGATCCAGTGGGGGGGGGGGAAGATGGGGATCAAATGCTGTACCCCACCACCACCCCGTCCAATGGGACAGCAGCTAAGACATTACCCAAAAAAGATCCCGGAGCATGATAGTGGTAAGGAAGAGGAGGAAAAGGAGGAGCAGCCATTACCGGCATTGGGGGGCTTGAAGCGTAGCCACTGCAGGAGCAACAAGTAAGAGTAAGAGGCAAATCCGTACGGGCCGGCCAGTCGGCTTGCTCAGGTGTGCCCAGTTATCGAGTCACAAGAACGGCAGGTCTCAGACACCCCCACCCCAAAAACGCCAAATTCAACTGTGTACATTTGCAGCTGCCGTTCCCGAGCTCTCCCCCCCCCCAACCTGCAGCTGCTATAGAATTTTCCCGCAGCTGCCAAGGCACCCATCCGCAATAGAGATCCTTCCCCCCAAACACACGCAAATTCCACCCCTCCCCATCACTTCTGTTCCCAGCTCTGCCTTTCAGAACCTGGGGGGACGGGGGCGTGGCGGGGAGAGAAAAGCAGGAGGCGGAATTTCTGAAATGGTTTCATCGTTTGGCTCAGTCACTGACAATTAAAAAAAAAAAAGACACAACAAAGAAGTCAGAACCAGGATGAGTCGGCGACGCCAAACGGCATCTTCACGGAAGACAAAGCATCGGCGTCATCAACGGGGACAGGGCTGGGGGGGGGGGTCGTTCTCGCCGAGAACAGAAAGAGGTCGAGGGGCTGGCAATGTCCACAGTTTTTTGGGGGGGCGGGAGAGGCCGAGCCCCAGAGGGATGTTACGCAAGAGTAACCAACACGAAAATCCCCCCGTTTTACAGCGGTAAGAGCCGAAACGTCGGGGGTGACGAACAGGGGAGGTATCGTCCTCGTCTTTGGTCAAACGAGTCCGGGGACAGTCCTCCGATCGCTTGCCGCACCACAGAGGGGACCGCCCTCCCCCCCACAACTCCGATGTGTAATTTTTAGGGGGAACTGGCTCCGCGTCCTGACATCATCACCGACGGAAGGCAGGTGTGTGTGTGGGGGGGAGTATCTTCGCTCCAGCATCCACTGGAATCCGGAAAGAGAGAGGATCCTAAAAGAAGAGACAGAGAGTCTCGATTAAGTGTCGGAGGCCGTTCTCCCGTTTATTTATTTATCGACGGGCATAAAAGAGGCACACCAGGTCATTAAAAGCTGCATTAAGAGTCATTAAATCACAGCCAAAAGCAACAGGGGGGGGGGAGAAACAATTTAAGCGCTGGAAGACACAGCAATAAAGTACATCATTTAAAAAAACCAAAAAACAGCAGTGAAATTTCATTATGTTCTTCCTGTGGTCCTTGGAAGACCGAGGTGGAGGGAATCGGGCTGATCTGAGCCAGGGTTCCATCACCAACCAGATCTATTCGCTTCGTACCCTGGCCTTCCTCCACGAAGTTTCGGGCAGCAGACGTGACTCTCTTGCCTACATTTTAATACTCACAACAACCCTGAAGGTAGGATCGACCGACAGCGTTGGCGGAAAGCGCCATCAAGTCACAGCTGACTCATGGCGACCCCGTAGTATTTTCAAGGCAAGAGATGTCCGGAGGTGGTTTGCCCTTGCCTGCCTCTGCGTCACGACCCTGGTATTCCTTGGAGGTCCCCCATCCAAGGACTAACCAGGGCTATTCCTGCTTAGCTTCCGTGATCTGATGAGATCGGGCTCGCCTGGGCTATCCAGGCTGGAGCCCAACAGATGACAACTGGCTTAATGCCCCCCCGCACACACACACACAGTGTGATGGAGGGAACCAGGCAGACCGGGGTGTGAATCTTCACTCAGCTGTGAAGCTCACTACGTAACATTGGGCCAGTCATCTATATATCTAATACCGAAGTGGCCCCGTCTGTGCGGATACTTAAATCCGCGCATCGGGGGCCCCTGGGGGGGAGAGTTTTGGGCACACGTGGGGCGGTCCCCACGTCTGCACAAAAATCAGAAACCCTGAAAAAAAAATCGGGGGATGTTTAAATCCCCCCGAAACTGGCAGAGCGTCCCCTGCGCATGCGCAGGGAATGCTCTGCACACTCTGGGTTGAGGGAGGGGGAAATAGCAAGCCGCTCGCCCCTCGCTTCAGTGCCGGGTTCGGGAGGGGGGAAGAGCG